CAAATTATCAACATGATGTTGCGGGAGAAGAGGGTTAGGGAGTGGGAAGTATAAAGATATGCTGATCATTTTATCAGAATGTCTGCTGCTGTTTTTTTTTTGGCAGCAACTGGACTAGGGCTTAGGTTAAGTGGAGGGGTTGGATGGGGGGAAGATTATATGTTTGTTTTATCAGTTAGGTTTCTTATTTTGTTTCATTTTCTTTTATTGTGTTGTTCTCACTTGAGTGCTATAGTTAAATACAAATGCTTAACTCATCTAGGTGCTTTATTTTCTCTTAGTGTGCTGCTAGCTAACAGGCAGCGGGTGCCAGTCATGGGGGAAGAGGTGTCCAAGCTCATCACCCACCCAAATCTTAGTATATTAACTCATGTCGAGCTCTAATACATTAACAGCATCAAGTGGTGCTCTAAGATTTATTAGTTGGAACGTTAAGGGGCTGAATTCACCTATAAAATGCAGTAAGGTGATTAACCATTTAAAATATTTAAACACTAAAATCGCCTTTTTGCGGAAACCCACCTCAAGCCATCAGATCACCTTTAGCTCCACAGAGGATGGGTAGGCCAGTTATAGCACTCTTCATTCTCAAGTAAGGCCCAGGGGACTGCAATTCTTATCCATAAATCAGTCCCACTTTCTGTGTCCAAAGTCATATCTGACCCTAATGGTCATTTTATTATTATTACAGGGAAAATCTCACATAGTAATTTGATTTTAGCTAATGTTTACGGTCCAAACTGGGACAATGAAAATTTTTTCAAGAATTTTCTTTTCTCCATCCCTGATCTAAACTCCTCTCAGGCGATTTTAACTGTTGCCTTGACCCTTTACTAGATCTGTAATCTAACAAGCCGCTTACTCAGTCGAAATCATCTAAAATCATTCAACTGTTTATGGAACAATATGCAATTTCAGATGTCTGGCGTTTTTTTAATTCAAGCAGTAAGCAGTTCTCTTTTTTTCCTCCTGTTCATGGTACCTTCTCTCGAATTGATTTCTTCCTTATCAATAATAAATTACTTCCATCTGTCACATCATGCTCTTACAGTCCCATTGTAATATCAGACCATGCGACAGTTACAGTTGACATCTCCCTTCCTGTCAGGTCCCTGTCACGATCTCCTTGGCAATTCAATTCGCTACTGCTTACAAACCCTGATTTTATTAAAACCATCAAAAGCTGCATCAATTTTTTTATTTCCACCAATGTTCACTCAGATGTATCCGCAGCAACAATTTGGGAAACCTGTAAACCCTATCTATGGAGAGAAATTATATCTTATTCTGCCCAACAGGTAAAGATAAATAGGGAAAAAAGTAAATGTCTGTCCAGGGCCCTGTCAGATCTGCAGGCAAGATGTGCAGAAAATCCTAACTCGGACTTACTTTAAGAACTGCTCACAAAAAAAGCTGAGTTTGATTAGTAGCCTCATTTGGCTTCAAATGAGGCTACTAATCTGCTGCTAAAAACACGAGAACATATGAGTTTGGAGATAAACCAAGCAAATTACTAGCTCACCAAATTCAACAGTTTTCTTCATCATCACATATCACTCAAATTAGCACCACAGACGGAGTAACCATTAACCCTCAATCCATCAATAATCAATTCAGGGACTTTTATGCGTTGTTATATACCTCTGAGTGCTCGTCTGATGAGTCACAATTTAAAAACTTTTTTCAGATCTTTAACTTTCCCTACCATTGATTCTGAAATATCCAAGAATCTGGATGAGCCCTTCACAATAGGTGACATAAAAAATGCTATCCTGGTGATGCCGAACGGAAAATCTCCAGGCCCTGATGGCTTTCCTGCCGAATTTTTAAAGACCTTTGTTGATAAATTATCACCTCTGTTGTTAAACATGTTCAACGAAATGCTCGAGCTTGGTATTCTTCCCCCAACATTACGCCAGGCTACCATTTCTCTTATATTAAAGGACAGAGATTCTTTATCCTGCAGTAACTATTGCCCCATTTCTTTGCTTTGTGCGGATGTTAAGGTACTAGCTAAAATGCTAGCAAGGCATCTAGAATCTGTTCTACTAACTATTATTTCCATTGATCAAACGGGTTTTGTGAAAGACAGACACTTGTTTCACAATGTTAGACAGCTTTTTGATATTCTGTACTCACCACCCTCTCGTGACACTCCAGAACTGGTCCTTTCAATGGATGCCGAGAAGGCGTTTGATCAGGTGGAATGGCCGTATTTGTTTTACACTTTAAGGAAATTTGGTTTTGGTCATAAATTCATTTCATGGATCAAACTTTTATATACATGCCCCTTAGCTTCCGTCCGCACAAACAATGATTATTCCAATTACTTTTCTCTCAAACATGGAGCTCGACAAGGCTGCCCCCTCTCCCCTCTACTGTTTGCCATCGAACCGCTGGCGGTGGCTCTTCAATCTAACCAGATGCAGGGCATCTCAAGGGGAGGCGTAGAATACAAACTGTCCTTGTACGCTGATGACCTTCTTTTGTTTATCTCTGACCCAGACAGGTCTATTCCTACTGTGACAGCCTTGCTGAAGGAGTTTGGGCAAATTTCAGGCTATAAGTTAAACTTTCGGAAAAGCGAACTTATGCCCATTAATACAGCAGCTACAATCTACCCCCTCTCGATGTTGCCGCTTAAAATTAATTTAGAAAATTTCAAATACTTAGGCATTTGGGTAACTAAATACCATACAGAACTGTTTAAATGTAATTTCACCCCTCTGCTCACCCGATTGACTCAAGATTTTCATCGCTGGTCTCTCTTGCCTTTATCTCTGGCTGGGAGAATAAACTGTGTTAAAATGAATGTGCTCCCTAAACTTCTCCATCTTTTTCAATGCATACCTGTTTTTATTCCAAAACAATTTTTATGTTCACTAGACAGCTCTATCTCTCGGTTCATATGGAATAAAAAAAAATCCTAGAATACGGAAAGATATTCTACAAAAATCCAAAGAAATGGGTGGACTAGCACTACCAAACTTTATATTTTACAACTGGGCTGCAAATATTTGTACTATTTTACACTGGCACTCCGTTAATAACCAACCTCCACCTTGGGTACAGATTGAAGAAGCCTCATGTAGCTCCTCTTTAACATCTCTCTTGTGTCTCCCTCTGTCAAGTCCACCACTAAAATACTCCAATAATATTGTGGTTAAAAACTGTCTCAAGCTCTGGACTCAATTCAAACGCCATTTTGGTATTCAGTCAATACCTCTTTTATCCCCGATACATTCCAATTCTATGTTCCTTCCTTCTGTTACCGACACAGTTTTCAAAGCACTGGCAGAACATGGGATCACCTCATTTAAGCATTTTTATATTGATGGAACATTTGCATCTTATTATCAGTTAGGTCATGCATTTAATTTAACAACGATTCACTTAATCAAATACCTTCAAATCTGTGACTTTGCTCGTACACATTTCTCTGGGTTCCCTGCAATTCCTTCTTCTAGTCTGGTCAATACCATTTTTAAAAATAACCCGCATCAGAAAGGTAACATTTCAAAACTATATAACACTCTTACTGTACCAAACTTCAGCCTCTGATAAGTTACAAACTACTTGGTCTGAAGAACTCAATATGGCGATGGTGCTATTTTGGGCTGTTTATTTTTTTCTGTTTGTTTATCTTCTTGTTTTTGTCTGTTTTTCTTTTTTTTTCCTTTTTCTTAATTTTATTACTCTTTATTTGAATAGGAAGTGTTTTCACACACAGTGTGCATTAGTTGGTGCAATCTGAACGATGCTAACAGAGCTTTTTGTGATCTTGTTGTCTGTTTCTTGACCGATCTAGGAGAGGAACCTCTTCTGGCCATTCCCCTCCTTCTTTTTTTTTTTTTTATCTTTTTCTTCTTGCCGGTTTTTTCGTTTCTTTAAAACAGAGAACCGTAAAGAGGCTTGAACATATGTGGACATTTATATATAACAACAGACAGAGCAAAGATGGGGGTGGTGTTGCAGTATATGTTGATCTGAATTTGAATTTCAAGATGGTAGAGGCTATGACACAGGTGGTGGACAGCCTTCTTGAATGTCTCACAATACAGATTTGTATAGAAAAGAAAAAAGATGGGGTGTCGGTGGCTTAGTGGATAGAGCAGGCGCCCCATGTACAAGGCTGTTGCGGCAGCTGCCCGGGTTCAACTCCAGCCTGTGGCCCTTTGCTGCATGTCATTCCCCCTCTCTCTCCCTTTCACACTCAGCTTTCCTATCGATCAAAGGCAAAAAAGCCCACAAAATATCTTTTAAAAAAAAAAAAAGAAGAAAAAAAAGGCTGTATATATAGAGCTCCGGGTTCTAGTATTGACAGGTTCAGGGAATGGATGGAAAACATGGTAATAAAAATGGGTAACAAAAATATCTTCATTTGTGGGGATTATAATATTGATATATTAAACCCCAACAATCAAAAAAGTATTGAAGATTTTTTAAATTCAATGCATAGTTTGAGTCTCTTTCCTAGGTAGGGAAAACCCTGATAATTAGCTTATGAATTCTTGAGTTATTGACAAAATCATGTTCTGTGAGGTCACAGTGACCTTGACCTTTGACGACCAAATTCTAATCAGTTAATCCTTGACTCAAAATGTCTGTGCCAAATTTCAGGAAGTTCTCTCATGGCATTCTTGAGATAACATGTTCACAAGAATGAAACCAGTGCAAGGTTATGGTGACCTTGACTTTTGACATCCCAATCACGGAATGAGACGGAAGAACGTTCACAGTTACCTTGACCTTTGACCACCAAATTCTAATCAGTTCATCGTTGAGCCCAAGTGGATGTGTGTTCCCAATCTTAAGAAATTTCTTCAAGGTGTTCTTGAGATATTGCATTCACCAAAATGGGGAATATTTGGACAGACAACCTAAAAACATAATGCTTTCAACCACTGCTATTGCCGACACCGAGGCATAAAAATATTTCCAAATCTTTTTCTCTTGCACAGAGAAACTAACAGAGGTGTGTAACAGAGAATGAATCTTACCCATGCCTGAGTCCTTCTTAGTGCCATCAGATATGATTTCTACATGGTCTCCATCCACATCGTAGCTGAAGAAATCATTGAGGTAAGTCTTTGACCTCTGACCTCCAAACACGTACAGACAGCGGTTTCTCTGTGATCATGAGGTTCAGAAAACAAAGAGACAAAAATGAAGGTAAAGAAATAACAATTAACATTCAAGTGTACAGTATTTTATTTAATTTTGCGGGAAGAATTATCCTCACAGCAATAGAAATCCAACTAAATGTGTATTGAGACAGGCGAACTGGACTCACAGTGTGGAAGAGCATGCAGTGGCCAATACGTGACTGGATGTCCTCTGGCCCAGCGTTACAAGAGTCTTCCCGCAAGAGGCTCCACGTTCCTGCCTGGCAGTGGTAGGCATACAGGCCGCTGAACTGAGGCTCTGATGTCCGACTGTCTTCCACGCTGCCGTTACATGTCAGGATCCGACCACCAAACGTGTAGATCATGTGTTTCTCTGAGTCCATGCACATCTGCAGGATGAACAAGGAACAAAGACGAAGAGAACATGAAGTTTGAGAGAAAGTTCAGAGAGGGAGCAGGATGAGTTTCTGATTTCCACTGTTTGTGTGGGAGGATTAGAGAGATGGCTCAATTACAGCAGCCACATTTCTGCTTCATTTTTTATTTTTCAATGATATACTGTCTAACCATTTTTGGTTTCTGTACATATACAGCTTTGAATTCAAAGTCCGTCATATGGATACTCACATCTGATATTTCACTATGTTTTCTGATTGTGAATACATTCATTTTTGACTCTTTAATCCACAGATAAAACACAGACACCTGTTTAAGCCATGAGCAGCTTGTTTTGGATAGAGAATACTGCTGTCTATTAACATTTAAAGTGACTGTGACTGGGCAAAACCTGGAGCTACAGCCTTCATATGAGATCTAAGCTGGGCAATAGATGACATGTGTCTGACTACGTGTTGAGACACTGAGCGCTGCCAAACATACACTCTGTGCCTGAATTCATACTGTGTAGACACAGATGGAGCACTGAAGCTGCTGCTGCTCACAGTGTCACCCATTCAGTATCTGACCAAATGTATCCCATGGTCAGGTCTGTCTCACCACCAAGCATTAAACAGGACTGATGAGAGATATCTGACATACTGTACTGGACACTACAGAAGTTAACTCTGGGGTCAACAATGTCATATACAGTACAGGCCAAAAGTTTGGACACACCTTCTCATTCAATGTGTTTTCTTTATTTTCATGACTATTTACATTGTAGATTCTCACTGAAGGCATCAAAACTATGAATGAACACATGTGGAGTTATGTACTTAACAAAAAAAGGTGAAATAACTGAAAACATGTTTTATATTCTAGTTTCTTCAAAATAGCCACCCTTTGCTCTGATTACTGCTTTGCACACTCTTGGCATTCTCTCCATGAGCTTCAAGAGGTAGTCACCTGAAATGGTTTCCACTTCACAGGTGTGCCTTATCAGGGTTAATTAGTGGAATTTCTTGCTTTATCAATGGGGTTGGGACCATCAGTTGTGTTGTGCAGAAGTCAGGTTAATACACAGCCGACAGCCCTATTGGACAACTGTTAAAATTCATATTATGGCAAGAACCAATCAGCTAACTAAAGAAAAATGAGTGGCCATCATTACTTTAAGAAATGAAGGTCAGTCAGTCCGGAAAATTGCAAAAACTTTAAATGTGTCCCCAAGTGGAGTCGCAAAAACCATCAAGTGCTACAACGAAACTGGCACACATGAGGACCGACCCAGGAAAGGAAGACCAAGAGTCACCTCTGCTTCTGAGGATAAGTTCATCCGAGTCACCAGCCTCAGAAATCGCAAGTTAACAGCAGCTCAGATCAGAGACCAGATGAATGCCACACAGAGTTCTAGCAGCAGACCCATCTCTAGAACAACTGTTAAGAGGAGACTGCGCCAATCAGGCCTTCATGGTCAAATAGCTGCTAGGAAACCACTGCTAAGGAGAGGCAACAAGCAGAAGAGATTTGTTTGGGCCAAGAAACACAAGGAATGGACATTAGACCAGTGGAAATCTGTGCTTTGGTCTGATGAGTCCAAATTTGAGATCTTTGGTTCCAACCGCCGTGTCTTTGTGAGACGCAGAAAAGGTGAACGGATGGATTCCACATGCCTGGTTCCCACTGTGAAGCATGGAGGAGGAGGTGTGATGGTGTGGGGGTGTTTTGCTGGTGACACTGTTGGGGATTTATTCAAAATTGAAGGCACACTGAACCAGCATGGCTACCACAGCATCCTGCAGCGACATGCCATCCCATCCGGTTTGCGTTTAGTTGGACGATCATTTATTTTTCAACAGGACAATGACCCCAAACACACCTCCAGGCTGTGTAAGGGCTATTTGACCAAGAAGGAGAGTGATGGAGTGCTGCGGCAGATGACCTGGCCTCCACAGTCACCGGACCTGAACCCAATTGAGATGGTTTGGGGTGAGCTGGACCGCAGAGTGAAGGCAAAGGGGCCAACAAGTGCTAAACACCTCTGGGAACTCCTTCAAGACTGTTGGAAAACCATTTCAGGTGACTACCTCTTGAAGCTCATGGAGAGAATGCCAAGAGTGTGCAAAGCAGTAATCAGAGCAAAGGGTGGCTATTTTGAAGAAACTAGAATATAAAACATGTTTTCAGTTATTTCACCTTTTTTTGTTAAGTACATAACTCCACATGTGTTCATTCATAGTTTTGATGCCTTCAGTGAGAATCTACAATGTAAATAGTCATGAAAATAAAGAAAACGCATTGAATGAGAAGGTGTGTCCAAACTTTTGGCCTGTACTGTATGTAAGTATGCTGCATGCGAGAGACTTACATTTATTGCCCAGAGGCTAACACTAACTGTTGTGCTGTTAAAACAATGGTTTCCGGGCAATCAGAATCAGAAGCTTTGTAAACCAGCCTTGAACTGCTGTGTCATCTTGGTGACTTGGTAAAATAAATCCAGAATGATAGTCAACACTGAATATCTTCTGTGGTTATCTATACAGTTTCTTTGTCAAAAATAGTTTTTGTTGTTATTGCCTGTCCCCACTAGCCATTCATGATGAGCCTACTGACCAGTCGAAGGCTGAATTCTTGACTTATGGACCAATCAGATGCTGTGTTTCTGACTGTGTAGCAACTGCGCAATAAAAAAACAACCGACTGTGTCAGTTAAAAAGCTTAATGTGAAGCTGTGAGGAGACTGCTGGGCAACCAACAATAAAAGAGACTGCATAAAAAGGCTTTTTATGCACCAACCTCAAACAACAAAAAACTCTGAATCACTCACCATTGGAATATTTTATATCCAAATATATCTGCTGGCCATAACGCCTTACTTACAAATTAGCATTAACAAAGTAATATAACGCATTACCAATAGAATTTTGGGTAATATTATTACATTTATAATGTCACGTCATGTTACCACCTGAAATAAACTGTTTATTGTTTTCATTCATCCACACTGATCCATACTGCTTCACTTCTACCAGTGTGTCACCAGAAAAAAAACCTGCCCTGAAGGTTGCTGTGTGCTGTCATGTCACTAACGTATTTATAAAGTCTATGGTCACTACAGACTACATCAAAGAAAGGTGCCGATGATGAGCACAGCTGGGTCATGTCGTACTGTGCATTTTCATGTTCAGTGTTTCCATTATATACATGCAATGTCTACAACAAATCTTGTTCTGCTTTTACGTCCTACAACTGCCTGAAAGCAACGGGGATAAAGAGCTGGCCTCTGGTTAGTTCTTTCCTTGTCCCAGTGATCGGCACATCTCTGTGATGTTAGTATATTTTGGATGCATTTCCATTCACATCCCCTACAACAGCAAAGCAACACCGGCACACCATCCCGTTCTTATACACAACTTGCTGCTGTAGCTGACCAGGACACTGAGAACGGGCAGGTGGGTCTTTCAGCTCTGGTGTATTAATTTGCACTTGTCATAGTGACTGACCCACATGCCATTCTGTTCGTTTTGCTAACCTCAATATTTGTTTGTTGTGTTTCATAACCTAGGCTCACAAATATTGATCCATATCTCATAATTATCAAACTTTGATCCTCTGCCTTACCGTTCCTGTGTCCAAGGATATTCATTTATTTAAAAAGGTTTAGACTATTTCATTGCTCTTTATCTTTATTATTATTATTTTTTTTCATTTAAATACAAAGTGGTCACCACTGTATGTGAATGCATGAATGGGTCAAGCCTGCGCATCACTGGATTTGAAATAAACTGTAATAAACTGGAGCTTCTGTGCACTGATTACCTGCTGTGAAGCAACTTGACCCTTAAAATAACCATTAGTTCTTCTGTGCTTATTTTGGTAAAAGCAACGCATAAGTAGTGTAATATGTAACTTATTACTCTACACATAGAGTAATACTGTAAAGTAACTTTACACTATTACATTTTGAGAGTAATTTGCCCAACACTGCCAAAGATATGGTGCCATTTAAAATACTTCACAAGCCTGGCTTTTTAAGATTTTTTTTTTTTCCTAAAAAGGATGTTCACCAAAAAAAGATAAAACAGTGATTGCAATTATTTTGGCAGGGGTTAGTCCTGATATGAAAATTTCGCATTGTCCCATGCCTAACTGATGTTGTGTTGCCTTTTTTGTCAACGGTTTCCTCAGCTTAGGGAGGATAAGGTGAGTTCACTTTCAGCACTTTAGCATAAGGAGCTCTGTAATTGTGTAAAAAGAAATTGGATGTTACTGCGGGCAGAGTGACTGAAGACACCACATTTTTGTAGGTTTTTGTTCTACTGGTTCAACAGGTGTTTGATAAACTGATCATACCATCTCCCTTTTGATGAATTTGTGGATGAGCAGCATTGTCATCACTGACTCTCTTAAGTCTGCTTCATTCTCTCCCCTGTATGCTCTGCTCTGCTAACAGGCAGCGAATAAGAGCAGAAGGGAAAGAGATGCGGGGCGTCAGTGGCTTAGTAGTAGAACAGGCCCCCCATGTACAAGGCTGTTGCCGCAGCGGCCTGGGTTCAAATCCATTTCGCGACCCTTTTGGGGTTGGGAACGATTAACTGATACGACTGGATATCCGGTTTGACAAGCGAGAGATACAGCTGCGTCAGTAGCAGCCTCCTCAATCGACAGAATCAGCCATGAATCCTTAGATGAATCGATTGTAGAGTCATGGATCGGGTGTCGCGAGACTAGCAATCTCTAAAACAACGCAAGAGCCGGCAGCATGCTCTGTAGCAGGCATTACTGACAACGATAACGGATGTAAACATCAGCGCCAGCTTGACCAGTGGAGCTGAGGAACAGAAGCTAATGCTAGTTGGATAAACCAGGGAGCAGCCAAGCCGCAGCAGAAACGAAAGGCGAATCCTGTCGGTTATGGGTTGAACGGGGGTTCACAGACACAGACAGAAATACGTATTCCTGTCAAATACGGCGGCCATAGTGCACACACATTTCCACAAACCTCACCACACTTTAGGGACTGTTCTTTACTTGTCAGGGAAGGAGGGTGGCTGATTGTTTTTTATTTTATTTATTTATTTTATTTTGATCCCCCCTATATTAATCACTTATTGATACTGTTTTTGAAGTATAAATAAGTCAATAAGTAATTTATTCCATTGAAATATCATTGATGTATTATAGAAGTGATTTATCTTTTTATAAATGATAAACACAGCGTAGCAAACACAGAGAAATAGTCTGACATGCTGTCAGTGATAAGCTGCTAGTCATCACAGTCCATGAAATCAACTAATAACAGGAGATGTCAGATTCTGCCCCTACATTGCACGTTATTATTTTATTCTACTTTATGTCTATATTGTACAGCATTATGATAAACTTTATTCCAGACTCAAGTCCATATAAGATACATGCAAAAACACAGACAATACAATAATAATAAAAAAAAAAAAAACACAACAAGTAGGTTTAAAAGACTTAAATTTTACTTAAAGTTCACTTCACTTAACCCTTGTGCACCCCTTGGTACATTTTTTGCATTTTTTGATTAAAAATACTCAATAACCTTGCCTGTGTTCATGGTAGCAGGACAAAATTTTGCAAGGATTTCAGGTTCTTATGAAGTTTTAAAGTTTCAAACTTGGATCTGATAATTTGGCTATAATAATATGTGTAAAAAAAATAGTTCCACCTTTTACCCTCCAGGCATTTTTTGCATCATTGACTCCCATTATAACATACATTTTTGATCCTACTGTAGTTTAAGCATAAAACACTGTTTTACATATTACTACCTTTTCAATCTAAGCTTTTGGCTTGAAATTTTTTTTTTTTACAATTATCCATCATATGATGTCATTTTACACCATATGGCTGAGGGCTCCATTATATGCTGTTTCATTGAGGCCTCTTCCTGTTGCATTTCTGACTGTTGCTTGGCAACAGAATACATGATTACAACTAAAATGGTCTGGGTGTATTGGTATTGATGTATAAGTGTTGTATGAATGTGTGTATTGAGAAAATTATTTGTGTGTGTGTGTGTGTGTGTGTGTGTGTGTGTGTGTGTGTGTGTGTGTGCACAGGGAAACAGAAGGTCTTTTTTTGCTCATCACATTTTTACATCCCATCTCTCTTCCTCTCTTTTTTCTGCTCACAGACTACATTGTCAACCCCCCTACACACACACACCAATACAGACACACAGATACACACTACAGTACTTGTAAAAAAAGAAAAAAGAAATCAATCAAGATCAAAGGGTCAAAGATCAAAGAAGGACTCCGTTACCAAAGCAGTCTTTTTTGCTCATCCCCTCTCTCTCCCTTTCTCATGCCCACGGACTACCCCCCACACACACCCACATGCGCACACACGCGCACACACAGACACATACACACACCTTCACACGAATACAGAGCCCCATACACACTACAGTACTTGTAAAAAATTGAAGTCAAAAGGTCAAATATCAAAGCACTCCATTACCAAAGCAAAGTCTTTTTTCCCACATCACCCTGTCTCTCTCCCTTTCTTATTCCCGCAGACACACGCGCGCNTAAAAAAAAAAAGGAAAGGAAAGAGATGCAGCAGACTGACTGGATGTACTTGTGTTTATTTTTGCTGTGATAGGCTGTTAGATCTAAATTAAGTAAAAATGGCCAAAGCTTATCATCCTTATTGACATATATTTTTATCACATTTCCCTATTGAGATAGTCTTATTGCCCAGCCTGAAGAAACACAAACAGATTCCAGTTACCTGGTGGTCAAATACCAACTTTGGCCCTCCGTCTGCTGACGTGTCCTCGCTGAGTAGTGTCCAGGTGTTGGCATCAATGTCATAGCGGTAGAAATCACTCTTCAGAGACTTGCTGTTCCTGACACTGGAATCCAGGTAGCGGCCCAGCGTGTAGATCTGACGTCGCTGGGAGTCGATACACATCTTGTGGCATGAACGAGCACTCGGACCACTCTGGTTGGTACATAAAAGACAGACATGCATAGCTGTTCTACATTTATAAATATAATTTGTTTCTTTAAGAAATAGCTTGTCTTGATATGCAGTCAATATGTTTAAAGAGGAGACCAAAACAATCATTTACATTTCATTGTTCCTCAAACCACCAACAATGTCTGGCACTGATTACACATTATGATGTCACAGTGACGTTGACTTTTGACCTTTTGGATATAAAATGTCATCACTTCATTATTTTATTTGATTAGACGTGTGTAAAACTCAAAAACTGAGTCTCGACTTATGGCCAAAAACATGTTTTGTGAGGTCACAAAGACCTTTACCTTTCGACTGCCAAATTCTAATCCCTTTATCGTTGAGTCCAAGTGGACGTTTGTGTCAAATTTAAGGAAATTCCCTCTAGGCCTTGTTGAGATATCACATTTACAAAATGAGATGAATGCATGCTCACAGTTACCTTGACCTTTGACAACCAAATTCTAATCAGTTCATCCTTGACTCAAAGAACACCTTGGGTGTAAAAAACCTCCCAAGGTGTTCTTGAGATATCACTTTCACAAGAATGAAATGGATGCAAGGTCATGGTGACCTTGACCTTTAATCTTTGACCACCAAAATCTAATCAGTGAAAATTTGGCACAAAAGTTCCTACAGGCTCAAGGATGAAGAAATTAGCTTGAGATGTTCCTGAGATATCTCGTTCACGAGAATGAGAAAGATGAGCACACAACGACCTTGGCCTTTAACCCCTAAAACGAACCATTTCATCTTTAAATCAAAGTGGATGTTTTTGCCAAATTTAAAGAAATTCCCCAAAGGTGTTCTTGAGATATCACGTTCACAAGAATGGGACGAATACAGCCCTAAAGCACAACATCTCCAGCCACAGCTATTCCTGGAGAAGAGTCATAAAAATACTTTTTATTTCTAAATTCTATCTTTATTAAGACAAAAGAACTAAAGCTAAATCAAAAAGCAATTGCATGCAATAAGCACTAGGACATGATGAAAGGTCTTTGGGAAGCAAACATTCTTACAACTTTTGACTGTTGTCCTCTGAGCTGTCTGAGCCTGCTCACCTCTTTCTCTGTGTCTCTGGAGATGCAGGCCCACTGGTTCTCCTGAACACTGTAAGCCCAGAAGTCAGCCAGGTCCTGTGTGCCGTCCCAGCCCCCAAACAGGTAAACGGTCTCTGCAGGGAACAAACATTATACTCAACTCATTTGCATATTGTTTTGGAAAGCACTGCTTAACTCTCCAGCCATCGGCTCACTACAGACTGTCACACACTCAGTTACTGTGAATAATCAGATTAAGGTTATGCTTTCAAAAAGGATTTAATGCTCCCCAAGGTGAGCTGGATTGGCATAGTCACTTTTTGTAGACAGATTTGTTAACACAGACAGGCATGACATACAAAGATTCAGCCTGCAGCATTTTCATGTGTTGGCTGATATCTGAGCGTGTACTTGTACAGAACATGGGTTAAAAACACTCACAAACCCCACTACATCTTTCACTACATCTTTTACACGCATGCACATTTCAAATGATGAATGAAAACAGAGTGGACAATGTGTGTTCTAACAGAATTTTGAAAATGGTAGTCAGGCAACATTTGCCATTTTTATTTTCCAAAATGTTACAACATTACCAGCAATGACCGGAATACAACGGTAAAGATGGTAACACTGAGATGCTGATTCTTTTCTGTACAGATGTTTCTATCTTTGTTCTTTGTTTCTCATCTGAATCCTTTCATACCACACGTCCCAGTGCAGTCAGCTTCAATTTTTTTAAAAAGGTTTTAATTCATTTTTGCGTACATAATACAGCTGCACAGTGCAAACTGAGTTTACTATATGCATACACTACAATTGACGAAATAGTCTGTTTGGAAAATTCAATTCAATTTTATTTATAAAGCCCAATATCACAAATCACAATTTGCCTCACAGGGCTTTACAGCATACGACATCCCTCTGTCCTTAAGACCCTCACAGCGGATAAGGAAAAACTCCCCAAAAAAAACCCCTTTAACGGGGAAAAAAAACGGTAGAAACCTCAGGAAGAGCAACTGAGGAGGGATCCCTCTTCCAGGACGGACAGACGTGCAATAGATGTCGTACAGAACAGATCAGCATAATAAATTAACAGTAATCCATATGACACAATGAGAGAGAGAGAGAGAGAGAGAGAGAGAGAGAGAGAGAGAGAGAGATGCAGGTAATGACAGTAGCTTACAACAACATTAATGAAAGTAATAATATTATAGTTATAGTTCTGGCTACTGTGGTACAATATGTTGAAAGTATGTATTAATATCAGACAGTATACTTGTGTGACAATAGTCATATGTGTATAATAACAGTAGAAGTATGACTAATGACTAATGATGGCAGCAGCAGCAGGAGGCATCTGGCAGGACCACGGCAGCAGCACAACCACACACGTCACACTGTCCAGGCACCGCTGCGGTATGAGTTATTCTGAGAGACAGTGGAGCACAAAGGCTCCGGAGAAGAAGCCGAGTTAGTGACATCCAGAATGGCCGAGTTAGCAAGATGCAGTAATAGGATGAGAGTGAGAGAGAGAGAGAGAGAGAGAGAGAGAGAGAGAGAGAGAGAGAGAGAGAGGGAGAGAGAGGGAGCCCGGTGTATTATAGGGGGTCCTCCGGCAGACTAGGCCTAAGTCAGCCTAACTAGGGGCTGGTACAGGGCAAGCCTGAGCCAGCCCTAACTATAAGCTTTATCAAAGAGGAAAGTCTTAAGTCTAGTCTTAAATGTGGAGACGGTGTCTGCCTCCCGGACCGTAACAGGAAGATGATTCCACAGGAGAGGAGCCTGATAGCTGAAGGCTCTGGCTCCTGATCTACTTTTGGAGACTTTAGGGACCACGAGTAACCCTGCGTTCTCAGAGCGCAGTGTTCTGGTGGGATAATATGGCACTATGAGCTCTCTAAGATATGACGGAGCTTGACCATTTAGAGCTTTATAAGTTAACAGTAGGATTTTAAATTCAATTCTGGATTTTACAGGGAGCCAGTGCAGAGAAGCTAAAACAGGAGAAATATGATCTCGTTTCTTAGTTCCTGTTAGTACACGTGCTGCTGCATTCTGAATTAGCTGGAGAGTTTTTAAGGACTTACTAGAGCTACCTGATAATAGAGAGTTACAGTAATCCAGCCTTGAGGTAACAAAAGCGTGGACCAATTTTTCTGCATCTTTTCGGGTCAGGATAGGCCTAATTTTCGCAATATTACGCAGATGAAAAAATGCAGTCCGTGAGGTTTGCTTTAAATGAGAATTAAAAGACAAATCTTGATCAAATATTACTCCGAGGTTTCTTACGGTAGTGCTAGAGGCCAGAGCAATGCCATCTGGAGAAACTATGTCATCAGATAAAGAGTCTCTGAGTTGTTTGGGGCCAAGAACAATAACTTCAGTTTTGTCTGAATTTAACATCAGGAAATTGGTGCTCATCCAATTTTTTATGTCTTTAAGGCAGTTATGGAGTTTAGTTAATTGATTACTTTCTTCAGGCTTCATCGATAAATACAACTGTGTATCATCCGCATAACAATGGAAATTTATAGAGTGATTTCTAATGATGTTACCTAAAGGAAGCATATATAGAGTAAAATGGTGGCTTTATGTAGTGGATCTGAGCTCACTAACGTTAGTCAATATGTTATTTGCACAGTTGAGTGGAGCTATGGTTCTAGTACTACTGTCCTTGTCTCAGTATACAAGCATGGGAGGGGAATCCATTTATTGACCAAAGTATGTCCAACTTCGCTACAATAAGTGGCGATATTCCCCCTCTCAGCTTGTTAGTATTGTACCTTTTTCTGGTAAACCTATTATGTCACAGACCAATCGACAAAGAAGTTATCAATTTCAATCAATCAATCAATTTTATTTATAAAGCCCAATATCACAAATCACAATTTGCCTCACAGGGCTTTACAGCATACAACATCCCTCTGTCCTTTGTCCTTTTCAGTTAGCTAGCAGCAAACTGGTACCATGGTGGACAACTTTACAGCTCTGTATATATTTCGTCAGTCCAAAAATGTATGGCTCTGGATGTTGATTTTGCCATGTTCTTACAGACATATTTAATGCTATCCCACTTCCAGGTCAAAGCCCAGGGCAGAAACTGTGGAGCATGCGCAGAGCACCTGGGCCAGTATGGGTCCAACTGACTGTACACATGCAGGAGTAATTCGAATCACAATCACATTATCTTGGTGTGTTTGTCCGACTTTGAGAAATGCGATTAAGTACAATTTCAGTCTGACCAACACCTTTACGTGTATTTTGAAAGCCCAGTTTTTGTCGGACTAACACAATAAATCCATTTTCTCTGATGTCATGTAAGTGTACTGAGTAACATGCCTAGGCACTATGGTGTTGCCCCAGAATAAACCAATTCAGCCAACTGACTGTAGCGTTATTGTGAAATATGGCTTTAGTTGCTCTGACTAGGGCAACTTCATGACCACTAAGTAAACATCTTCAGTCGGCATCACATACAGAACACGTACAATGTTGTCCAGTGTTTCAGTTTAACGAGGGAGTGTTAATCAACTGGTGACTCTCAACCGAATATGGTGTGGTTGCTCATGGTGACAGCAGCTCCTTAAAACACCAACAGAACATTTAAGTGTGCTTGTAAAAGCCTGCAATTTTACTTTAATCAGTTTTAAATACATACTCATCTGCATTCATTGTATTAAATTACAACAAGCAACCACGTTCTGTTGAAAGTCACCAGTTAAAACAGTCACTCGCTGGCAGCCATATGTCCAGTAGGAATTACTTTTTTTAACCATGAAAAACTTAACCATTATTTGGCAGACAGTCAACAATGTCATCAATTTTAGAAAATCGACAACACGTGCCTGGACTGGCCCCTATCACAATCCTGTCAACTGGCTCAAGGCATTGAGGGTTTTTTTGAGTATCAAATCTGTGTTCTGGTTTGGAATGTAAATTTCCTACCCACTATCATTTTCAAAAATCTTCCAAACACATTTGATAACTACTCAGTGACAAAAGACATTTTATGTGCTGTAACAGGTTACCTCTTTACAAAACCTCTATGTTGTGTCTGTAATTCGTAAACTTATTAGTGTCTGATGTGAAGACACAAATTGGGTCAAATAAAGGCCACTGCAGTTCAGAAAGATGGGAGTTGTGCAAAGTTGTTATTGTATCAGAGACTTGTGTAGGAGGAAATAAGCTGCGTCATTACTGCTACAATTCTAAAACAGAGGATGAGCCTGAGAATGAGTTGTGAATGCCAAAAAAGGTTTGTTACAGGCTGAAAATCAGGAAAGAAAAATAACTTATTGTACTTTTAATCAGTTTAAAACTGAAGATTTTGCTGAATGTGTGCTGTGGTGCTTATAAAACTACCTGCATCATGCTCATCCTAAACTGATACTGTGACCATGTGTGTGGCTACTGAGCCTGCGACGTAGAGGTAAACCTACAGCTTGTATGAACTAACCAGTTGATTACAGAGACTTCTGTGGGCCAGGAGCCCAGTTGTATTGGATCGGGATGGGAAGCCTCTTGGGAGTAGACAGATATCTATCATCTTACTGTGTATGATGCAGCATTTCTGTATGACATCATGATGTATGATTATTAGGTCAGTAAAAGGAAAGTCCGACTAAGGACTGAAATGGAACTGGGAATAAAAGGGATAGTGCACCCAAAAATGAAAATTCAGCCATTATCTACTCACCCTCATGTTGATGTATGCTCTGGTGAAGTTTTATAGTCCTCACATCCCTTGCGTAGATCTGCGGGTGGAGCGGCTAGCACACCTAATGGCTGACGGCGCCCCAGACTAACGTCCAAGAACACAAAACTGAAGCCACAAAATATCTCCAACATGCTCATACGTAGTGATCCAAGTGTCCTGAAGCCCCGACATAAAAAGTTGTTTCGAAAAACGTCATATGAACTCTGTTTTTAGCCTCACTGCGCCGTCAGCCATTAGGTGTGCTAGCCGCTCCCCCGCCGATCTCCACAAGGGATGTGAGGACTCTAAAACTTCACCAGAGCCTTCCTCAGCATGAGGGTGAGTAGATAATAGGGATGTATCGGCCGCCGATATTAGCAAAAAACGTGCATCGGCATCGGATCGGACTGCATGGAAAAATGCCGATCCAAAAAG